GCACTAGAACCATCGACTTTGTTTGATGAGGTGCACATTGCCTTACAGGGAAGATAGAATAATGAGAGAAAACAGCATAATGCGCCAGATTTGGTAACGGTGAAACATTTGTTTGTAATGATCGATAAAATACGTTCTTTGCAAACTGCTGTGTCTGAGCTAAGATGAATACGCAATTTATCAAATTCTTTTATAGTTTTTGTTTTTCTTTTCTTTTTAATGACAAAAGACTAAAAAGGGGAAAAAACAAAGCGCAAGGACACAATTAAAAGTGGGAAGGTAGAAGATACAGACAATAATATTATGTGTGTATACCAGCGATAAATTTAGAAAACTAATAACTGAATAAATAGTTGTAAACTTGGTTTTAGCTGGAAATCATTGCACACACCAAATAGTAAATTAGACTAAAAAAGAAGACAGTTCTCAATTTGTAAAGAAACAGAAAAAATAAAAAAAATGATAAAAGGGATTTGAAAGAAAGGGAAAGAAAGAAAAGAAGGAAGAAAGATAGAAAGAAAGAAACAAAGCAAAGTGATCTGACAGCTGAAATCGAAAGTGAAAAAAGAAATCGAAACAAAAGGTATTCATATAAATGAACAAAACATTTTCTTGGCACTTTCATTTTATTCTAATCAATATTTGTCCAGTTTAAGTTTCCAGCTTTTAGGCCGAACCTCCCAAATGCAGACATAACTGATTTTTTTTTTACATAGATGGAAATGTATAGACTTCAAATCCAGTTTCATTCTAAGCCATGAATGAAACAGATCAAGTATCTAAATCGATTAATATTTAGGAGCTAATCGGTAAAGATTAGACTGATTGATGTATTGATTGTTATAACGTTCAACCACTGGGTGAAGCCATTGTTGACTTAGTTTCTCAAGTACAAAAATCAGAAGCATCAAAATGAACAAGTGATGCCACGGCAGTATTCTTATTTGTCAAATAAAGGCAAAGATTTTTGTCAAAGCACCCAGAAACGCCTATAAAAAACTCAGTGAGTTTTCTGTAAATTGATTTCAAGGTGAGAAAAACACAAACTATTTTGGAGAAGTAGGGGTCAGAGTTTGTTATCATTACTTTCACAAGAAGGAAAATGTAGAGCAAACGCTTTCAAATTCTTATGCAAATGAATTCAAGGTGTTATCCTATCTTCAGTAGCCTCAGCTGTTATCACTGAGGTAAATGAATAATTTAATATTTTTTAATGAAACAGTTAAAAGGATCCATTGAGCAGTGCGCTAAAGCAACAGCGTTTAACTTGAATGACAGTTACAGTATTATGAGGAAATATAATTTACTGAAATTGATATAAGTTAATCAGAAAATCTACCCAAACAAGTCACAAGAATTAAGACATTTTCTTTGAACTCTAAAGACATTGAGGCTTGTATTTTATTAGCAGTGATCATGGTGCTGACGAAGAAACAATATTTGAACTTTCACTTTCTTATCAAATTATATGCGTTCATATATCGTTGGTACTCGCCCACAGAATGTATATTCTTACTGCTAAGACATGTCAAGTGATTCTTTCGAGTAGCCAAGCAATTGCCCAATCGAATATTAACGTTTCTAAAATAAATCTATAAGGCAGACTGAAAATAAAAATCAGTAATATCCCATCTACTTTAAATAGAAAGTTTATATCTTTAAAACAAATAAATTAAAGAGGATCTTGAAATATAAATATACTCACTGTCAAGCGTAAGTATTTCAAGAAAGCAGTGAGCATCGTCGAAGAATTATACTTTTAATAGGCAATTAGATAGTAATGGTTTCCTTCTGTGATTTTAAAAACCAAATGCGTTAAGAAAAGCCCTTTGGAATCCATCGATTGGAAATGGATTAAAATTTTGATCAGCAGAAGAGAGAATCACTGCTTTTATTGGTTATTTGCACCCGTAGTCAGAGTTTCATTAATCATTTCTTTATATTTTTCTTTCAAATAGACTTTTTTTTGGTTTGCAAAATTCCTAGTAAAATGTACCGTTTAAATCAAACGGTTCAAAATCGTTGATATTTTTGTTGGTTGCACTGTGAACAGGATACAGTGATTAAATAACAAATTAAGATATAAAAAAAGAATGTCATCGACAAAATGTATATACAGATGTAAAAAATGTGACAAATATGATAAAGATAAAAAGAGGGACTAAAAAGAAGTAAAAGTTGAGAAAAAAGATAAAACGAATTGAGGAGAAAAATAGAAAAAACGAATTGAGGAGAAAAATGAAAAGATAAAAGTCGTGTGAATAGGGATTTTAAAATGTTCTGGTTCGAAGAAGAAGAAAAGAGAAGTATAAATTAATGCATAAATAAAAAGAATAAAAAAAAAACAGGAATAATCAACCAAGGAAGCTAATTTACAGGCGACCATAAAGGGCAAATTGATGGCGCATTACCCTAGCGTAAATCGATAAAGTATTGTTAAATCATTACTGCGGCCACCGTATGGCGGGGGTGGGGGTTCGTTGCAAACAAATCCCTAGCACAAACATGCACTCTACAACAAATAGAAGAAGGTTGATTTAAAGAACATTTTAAATCAAACCATTAAATAATATCAAATATTTGCCCATAACAATAGCTCTATTCATATTACTATGCCCAAGTGGGACATGAAATGAAAACAAAAAATGTATCAGACAATTGACAGACGTTCTCTTATACTAAGTCGATATGTTAATTAGATGTAACTATGTGTCCCGCCCACTATTTTGGACACACCTCCCTTTCTATTATTGATCATATTCCTTAGAGGAGAGGCTCCTTCTGTGGGTCGTCCTTGGAGCTCCCTGTCCTTGGAAATTAAACTTGTTGCATTTGAATAAAGATACAGATAAGACTTGGAAAAAGAGAAATCAATTATCTTTTCTTGACTTTGTCATAAGATCTACGATGCTCAACTAGACTGGGAATAGATACCTTAAAAGTTGTTCCTCCTTTTCTCTTATGACTTTTAGCCCTGACCTTTTATGTATTTGGAAACTGTGCCCCTTCCCCATCTCCTTATAAACAAACCCTTTTTCGTTAGCAACTGTTACTAGTTTTCCTGAAGCGGTTGCCCCCTTTCGTACTAGGTTTTTGTGCTATATGATTTTCATGACAATATCAAAGAAAATTAAATTTTGTCGTTTTTCATTACTCGATATTTCTTAATAACTCGTGTTTCTGTGTCTATTATTTTCTTAGCCTTCTCTACATAAATTTAATCAGACCCTATGAGTGTATGTGCGTGTGTGTACTGTACTCACGTACTTGTATGTATTTATGTATAAATATTATAAGTTTCTCGTTTTCACATAACTCAGAGTAAACGTATTAAAAATTGTATTTGCAATTCTTGTTAAATATTTGTCAAATGCAAACTTACTTTATTTCTTAATTTCAAAGCGTTTGCCACAGTTTTTCTCCTGTCTTTTAACTCTTTCACATTTCCATGTCCTCTGTTTACACAATCATAGTCTATATGCTGTTCTAATACAAGTTATTATTCTAATACAGGTTGTAAAGCCGAACTGTTGACAGAAAAGCGTTTAGGGAAGTGGAAAAAAGAATTTGTTGAAAAGGTTGAAGAATAGAAACTTGAGAAAAAGCATAAAAAAACGCACAAGAAAAAGCTGGAGTTAAACAAATGGTAAGTAATAGAATAAAATGAGAATGAGGTGAATATAGACATTGAAAATAGAAGGTCGATATTAACTAAGCATAACTTAGACGAGCATCATGACTAAATAGGAAAGGAAGATTGTTTGCGCCAATCTTACAAATGAGGGCGATCTGACTATAAAATCAATATTCGAAATTCTTTTTTTTTATCTGGAAACGAATCGAGGCTGCTTCTACTGGTAAGAAATACCGCTACTACCTCAGCCACAAAGTAAAAGCAGAAAGTGAGAAAAAAGTCAACAGATCAAAAGTGGTTGCCTCACCAACAATTATCACAGTTAACAACAAAATAAGTAGAGGCATGATATTTTAATATATTGTCTGGTGTTGTTGGTTTAAAATTATAACATACATTTATAATGGTGGAGATTGGCGTTAAAAGGAAAGGGAAGGTAAAGGAAGAAGAAAATATGGTGAGAAAGAAGGAAAGGAAAAAACGAAATATCAGCAGGCGACGCGGACTTGGGCTTAAAACCCACCATTTTCTCGTGTCATTTAAGTGATCTTTACAAATGACTCATTTTTACAAGACGGGTTAGAATGAAAACACCCACCCACGCACGCACACACACACACACACACACACACACACACATATATATACATATAAAGAAGGAGCTGCACACTGAAGCTAAGTAAGTAAAAATCTTTTTAGATTGACTCGTATATAGCAATTTGTAAAGTGCATGTTTCTTGATTATGCGAGTTGTCTGACTGCTGATAATACAAATAAGAATGAGTTTCTGTGGACATGTGTTTGGTTGTTTGCGTCTGATTGAACAAGTGGTTGCTGACACAGTAAGAAATAGAGAGAAAAAATAAACAGGTAAAGAAATAAAATTGCATTTTCTATTTGATTTTTCATTGATTTTTCTTATTTCTATTTTATTAATGTAAACATTTAAAACATTTTATGAACTATTAAATAAACCTTGAATTGGCATGTATGTTTTAATTCATATTATTTTTATATTTTTTCATTTCTTTCTTTGTCATTTTTTTATGTATTCGTAAATATCAAAGAGATAGTAAAATATTACGAAATTATATTAAGAATATTTTTTACACAGAGAAAGAAAAATATTCACAAAGTTATGGACAAAGAAAGAAATGATTGGGAAGAAAGGAACGGCTTAAAAGGAAGTACACAAAAATACGCACCTATAAATACACACACACACACACACACACACACACACACACACACACACACCGATACATTTTCAAAAGACCCATAACCATATAAGCAAAAACACTAAGAGAAAGTGCGAGACAGAATGAACAAAATAAATAGGGGGAAAGATTAAATTGATTATGCTTACTCTTTTTGTTGTCTTTCTAGTTGATCTATTAATTCAGTTACTCTCACGTCCAAGGTAATTTTTTCTTTGTTCGTGGCATCAATCAGTTTTCTCGCTTCTTCAAGTTCAGTTTCGTACATTTCCTTAATAGCAGAGGTTTCTTTGCCCCATTTCGATTTGAGCTCTTCAAGTTCGCCGGCCAATTTCTTGTTCTGGGCTTCCAAGAATCGAACCTTCTCAATGTAGTTAGCAAACCTTTCGTTCAGGTCTCTCATATCTTGCTTTTCTCTTTCACGGTTGGCTTTGACATGGTTAACACCAGTTGAGGAGATGTTAGCATAAGCCCCTGGCATTGCGGCGGCTCCATAACTGAAATCATAAGATCTCGTAATCTGGGTACCACTCCCAACGCTGCTCCTAAAAGGAGTCTGTGAGCTTCGGACCGCGTGGTTAAGTCGGGGATGAATCCTACTGTTGTAGCTAAATCCACTCATAGCGCTGGAAGGTCGGCTTTCTCCTTCGTAAGTGGTGGTGGTGCTGATCTCCGTTTTCTTTTGTGTAACGCTCATTGTTTAACTCTAATCGAAATTAATTGAACCTTTACTGGAATCCCAGACAATCCTGGACAGTTAGTTAATGAGTAGTTAATTCCAATCCGGTTTTCACCGAATAATAATTTCTTCCCGGCCGGCAGAAGCTTATATACTGCTCGTCGGCAGATGTGATTGGCTGAGAAAAGCCAGGTGGCCTCTTTGATTTGAATATGTAAATAGGCCGGCTCTGGCTTGTTTCCATCTTTTTTTCTTCTCTCTTCCTTTTATTTTATTCCTTTTCTGGTGAGCATAGTCAACAAGTGCAAAAAAAGAAAGAGAAAAAGGAAGGAAAGAGGAAATATCAGGAAAAGACTGACGCAGAGAGAGAATGTAAAAAATGCAACAGAAAAATGGACGAGGAAAAATTATAGAGAAAAAGAGTGAGAGTTTGTGAGAGTGAGAGAATGAATTGGTTAGATACGAACTTTGACCTCGTGCTTCTAAAGAAGGTTACACGTCTTGCTTAGCTTCCGACTTCAGCCACTGCATTAATTAAGTTTCATTCTACACCTGTTTCCTACTTCCTAAGTGAAGCGGGCAACACATTCTGTAGGACATTACACATATTTCAGCATACACATAGCAACACAACACACATGTGCAAATTATAGACAAACATGAATACAATAAGCAATATTTTCACATCCATACATTCACAAATGTATACGAATATGCGTACTTTAAATCATAAATACGCATACATAATTATCCGCACAATCAAATACATAATTCATATAATAGAAAATATATATATCTTCAACATCTCGTGTATGTGTGTGCGTGCATAAATAGCTTCGTAGTAGATTTCTACTCCTATCAAATAAACAGATATGCATACACAGGTATTTATCCATATACCTAAATAAAAAAATAACTACACACACACACACACACACACACACACACACACACACACACACACACACACACACACACACACACACACACACACACACACACAGTGAGAGAGAGGTCAATGTGAAAATGACACGCATATAATAAAGATAAACGCATATTCATTAAATTTGTGTTTTTAAACACCTTTCCTCAAACTAACAGAAATATAATCTAATATGTTGCGGTTGACATTTCGGGCCATATCCTTCTTCGAAAACAATCTTAAAACCGAAGTGTATGTGATTTGATGTATTCTGAAATGAACATGTATATCATTCACATTCATATACGAAGTTTCTATACTTTCATTTTTATTTCAATGTTAGATCAAAACCAAATCTTCACAGTACTTAAAAGAAATAGCATCTAAGATGGAAGAAATATCTCTATATACAGGTATTTATATGTATATTTCCGAACATTTATTTTGTACTCTGAAAATATTTCTTAATAAAATAATAAAACCTAAAATATAAGTAAAATAGTTATAGATTCATATAAGTGTTTGATTTACTCATGCACACAGACACGCAGACACACACTGTAACATACACGCAGACATAAATAAAACTCTTCTTTTTCTCTCCGTTTTTCACAATATACACATGAATAGAAACATATAAGCAGCTTTACTTCAAAAACATTAAGCGCGTCAATAGGCACGCAGTTAAATTTTTATGAATATCCACTTTAATGTTTCATGAATATTTATGTGTGTGTGACGTATGCGTGCATACGCATGCAATCAAACAGGAATATAAAGTCTATCTACGAAAAGTTTAAATATAAGTGTGCATATATGTGCATCAAATGATACCACACCTCTAAATACGCATACATACGTGTTAGCACAGACGCCCACACATATATGTATGATCTGCTTTATTCCCACACGAGAATAAATCAAGTGTACAAGCACATTCCATAGTACACTTGTGTAGAACTTCAGGTGTATAAGAGAGACGTAAACACAACTACGCAAACTCAAAATTAAATTCTTATACACATAAAATTCAAATAAGAAATGAAATTACTTCATGTCAAAATAAATACGTAGCACAGCAGGCGTAAATTTACTTACAAACAAAAAGCATAAATTTCTGCACACGCAAGAAAGACAGATAAACACATGCAAATGCATGCATAGCTATCGATTTGTGCACACTAACAAACGTATACAAAGTTATAATTGAAATCAAATTTCTTACACCGCCTTGAAGAATACCGGCGTGCATAGGTGTGCCGCTTTGAACTCGTTTACGATCTCAATAAGCACTCGCTCATGGACACTTTTTACAATTAAAAACTTACGCTCGCACACACAGATGTATTTAGCATGTAATATACGCTTACATATACAATACAAGCATATACATCAATCAGTCAGCACCCACACAAACAATGACAGGCTTGCACACAAACAAATGCCTAGATTAAAGGTTGAGTTCAAAAAACGCTATGGAAATAAAGTGAAAATTCATTCCTTTCCTTCCTTTCTCAACATGCCTTGTTACAGCAGTCGTAGGCCGAGCGCTATGTACTAAGTGCAGTGTGGATACTCAGGATGATAAGGAATGTCACTCTACTCATCCGGTCTCTTGAACAACGATTTCTTCATCAATTTCAATTTCCTTTATTTTTCCGCCTGCGTCTTTTAAATGCACATTCATCTAAAACTTTTCTCTGGCTAAAAGAATGGAATTTAAACAAGGAATAAATCACATACGTACACTGATGAGTTTGATGCGTCTGTTTTTATTCAAACGTATGTATGATGCATTTGTGTGTGTGTTTGTGTGTGTCTGTGTCTGTGTACGCTTGTCTTTTTACGAGAGGGCATCGGCCGTGCCCAAACATGGATATTACTGACTAGTATACACAGTAGATATTTACTAAGTTTAAAAAATTAATCTGACACATGGGGGGTAAATGAAGGAAACCGTTTTCTGACATTTTTTCCTGTTTTGAAAATCAGCTCAATTCAAACAGTGACAGTTGACACCGGTGGAGACTTACACATCTTCTCAGTTACCACAACATACCGAGCTGTTTAGTATATATGAAATTGTCTGAATTTTATTAATATGAATATTATAATTATTAGAAATGTTCATACAGTTACATTTATACGTTTATTCGTATCCGTGTGTGTATGAGAATGTGTATGTGCGTGCGCAAACGAGCGTCTACGTATGTGAATGTAAAGTCTACGAAGACGTAAATTCTTTACTCACTCCAATTGCTTAAAATATACGGACACTTTTCTATTTTTATACACGGATACATAAATAAAATTGTGTGCTTTAATTGTTATTACATATTTATAGTGAATATTAGAATTAAATTATGAATTCAGAACTGTTATCGATCAGTGATAACGATTACCACTAACGCCAACGATACATTGTATAATAATATGCCATTATGAATTAAAAAAATAACTTAAGGAATTTGGTTCCATCCAAAATATTTGAATTTTCCTTCACTTTTTCTTTTATTCGTTCTTCCTTTCCTCTATCGTTCATAAACGTTTTTTTATATTAATCCATGCATATACGCATTATTTTGTTCTACATTATCTATCTATCTATCTATCTATCTATCTATCTGCACTTGTATTTATTCGTATACGTCTGAGTATCTCTCAGTCTATAAGAATATATAACTAGAATTTATCTTTTATTAATGTAAAAATTCTACTACAAGTATTTTCAACTCAGACTGAATTTATTTGTGTTAAAGTTTGCGAAGAGCTCTTATAACTTGTAGAACTATGTGTTTTTGCATGGTTATAAATTGGCATAAAGTATATTTTTGAAAAGTTAAGCAAGGTTATGTTCTATCAGAGACAAATAAAGAACCAATATCCTTCTAAGCCCGATCTCTCAAGGACAATGTCTAAAAAGTTTAATTTTTATAACCTTCTTCTTGCCATAATCTATTCTTTCTCAGCTACCATTATTTTTGCTATTTTAGTTCAGTAATGTACATGAGCACATATATAAAGCAGCTCGTGAGGATCAATTTATTGCTGTTTTTTTTATAAGTACGAGTAAACATGATGTTTAACATTAAATGATAACTTCGAGCAGGATTGTGTCCCAATGAAACTTGCAATTGGATACATCTACTACACTTACACAATAGAAGGAGGATGAAGAGAAAACAATTATTATTTTGTATATATTTCGATAGAAGTGTAAAAGCATGCGCATGTCTGAATATATCTGTGCGTTTGTTTTGTTTTCTTAAATTTGATCTAAGCAGATTTTAACTAATATTAATTTTGAACATGTTTTGAATAGTGTGTGTGTGTGTGTTTGTTTGTGTTAATATAGATTTAATTTGATAACTTTATTTGAAACTCTAGAGATGCGACAAGCCTTAAAAACAGAGAAGGTAAAAAAGAAGATAGAAAGAAAGACTCTAAAAAATAAGTGGCAATTGCAAAAATGGTAATGAAGACAAGACAGCTCGGTGGAAGAATAAAAATATCTGATCTGAAATCTTCGTAAAAAAAATATGTATGCGTATTATTGTTTGCGTGTACAAATAATATTTGTATGTAAATATTGTATGTAAATAATATTTGTATTCACAAACGCTGAACATGCACATTAAGTGGCCATTACATACATTTTTGTATTTCCATACACATGCATACGTTGGTATAAACAAATATATATAAAGTAAAACATGCTCTTGATATGTTCATTATATATATATATATATATATATATATATATATATATATATATATATATATATATATATATATATATGTATGTGTGTATGTATATTTATTTAATTATTTATTTATAATCGGTTGGTGTGGATGTTTATATAGCATTGATGTGCGTTGTAGTGAAATTTTTGCAAACAAAATAATGCAAGTTACGAATTTTTAGTCAATTTTATATTCTTTTTTTTCATGATTTTTAAATGAATTTTGAAATTGTACTGTTTCTTTGAAGCCAAATTGACTGCATGCAAACTAATTATGTGATGTCCAAATGAATATAGATATTTCTATACTTATATAATGTCATGATGAAATCATTTGAATTATTTTTTTCAATAACTTGATATAGCAATGATTTCAATATCTTTTTCCTAACAGGTGCACACATAGACAGACACAAAGCGATAACTACATATATATACAGTTACCACAAGATGTATGCTTACATCAGGATATTATAAAAATGATTAGAATCATTCTACGTCATGAAAACCTAGACTATCTCTGACTATAATCATTTTTGAGTATATATATATATATATATATATATATATATATATATATATATATATATAATGCACACACACGCATATACACATGGCTAGTATTCTTATGATTCTCCGAACACACGTCCAGAAGCTGAACAATACAAAAAATTTAAAAATGTTTATACGCATTCTGTTATAAAATTATTATTCTGAATATATTATTATAAAATCTCATTACACTTGTCTATATCAAGTTCATGTACGTGCTTATTGAAATAATTTAGATATAAACGCACACACGTGTATCTTATATGATGTTTTATGCATTGTTTCTCTAACGTTTATGTATGAGTGCGTATGTATTAAAATCGCAGACTAAATGGTATGAATAGCCCATGCCTACGATTGTTTTTGATTTTTGAGTTATTAGTTTACGCATTGTCACTTTTGCGCATGTATATCCATGAGCGAGCAAGACAATATCATGGTTTGAGGAGAAAGAGCGGTAGGAATTAAGTAATCGAAAAGAGAGAGACAGACAGAGACAGAGAGAGTGGCACAGAGAGAGAGAGAGAGAGAGAGACAGAGAGAGGAAGCGAAAGGAAAAGGAAGAGTTTGTGTCTGTGTGTCGGTACTGGTGTAGTTTTGAAACCCGAAACAACGTCAGCAACAGGTCGGCCAACCTGATAAAAGACCAAAAACATTGCACACGCAAAAACACGCCCGCGCGCGCACGTGCACGCACACATACAAACACACACACATACAAACACGCACACACACACTCGTGCGCTCGTTCGTGCACTTTATGTAAACAATACTGCAGTATAAGGCACTTTCACTTGCAATATTACATGCAAATGCTCGCACATGTTCCCTCACATATTCCTGCGTAATATGCAAATGTTATACAAACTGACATAAGTTTACTGTAAAGTTACGCGTACTATTTCGTGCATTTATACAATCTTTGGCAATTGAAAGTAGATCTTCACATCTCTTGGTTATTATGTTAGTTCGATCTCAACTGACATTCAGCAAAGAATCATGGGCCAAAACTGGTTAAACCTCAAATGCAAATGCATTTATACTTCAAAAAAGGATGCATGTGTGTACACTCTGCCATAACAGTTAAAATTTATCACTTAATTTAAACTTAAAAAACATATTTCTTATGGCGATTTAAAGTGGTTTGAAGTAAGAATATGATAGGATTGATAAACAAAAGGCTTTACTTTTGATAATTATTACAAGATTTTAATCAAAATGTGTTTTAATATTCAAAAATTTTAAGTGCGAATAAAAAGTGTTTTAACTGATTTAATGATTAGGTAGACATAAACAAGCTGAAAGACACTCTAAACAATTAAAAAGGAATTTTAAAAAATGCGCTGAATATAAATACAATGAGTTTTTCGTTTAAAATTTTCGAACATTTCTAGGCCCAGAGTCGTTGTTTTCAACCTCATTTTCAAAATGCACAACGTATACAAAATTATTTAAGAATTCTGTTGCATAATTTGACTTTCTAAATGGATAGCGTTCATTAAGAAAATTAACTTTTTACTTCCAAGAGCTGATTTGTACAATATTTGTTGGCAATAATTTCATTTTTCTGATAGATGTATGCAATGATGTTTGCAGATCAGGATTATATATCCTGATCTGCAAACATCATTGCATACATCTATCAGAAAAATGAAATTATTGACAACAAATATTGTAATAATGAGTAATATATTTAATAATTTGATTACTAATATAAAAGATCTAAATAAACAAACGCCTTTTGTTTTATTCCCAGCATGTACAAACATGGAGACTACAAAGATCATTAATTTCCGCAATAATTCCAATTCATATATGTCTGCAAAGAATGTACTTTTTATTTTATAAGAACGCCATACATATGAATTAATCAAAAACGAATGCTTACTAGGAGAGTGGCAAGAAGAAAGGAACTCATTAAGGAAATATATATATATATATATATATATATATATATATATATATGTATGTATATTATAAATATGTGCATGCAGCAACAATTGCACAGAAGCTTCTTCTTAGGCGGGATAGTAAATAAAGTATCTAAAAGTATCTAAAGAAATTCCAAAATGTAACCCATTTCTCGAGAAGAGCCCTATCATCATCACTTTAAAAGAAAAAGCGGATACTAAAAAAAGGAGGTTCCAAAAATATTTCAAACTGCAAATCCATTTCTACAGATTGCTCTTATCATAAGTTTATGAAAGCAACTATATTAATCTGAATGTTAAACAAAGTAATTACAAACGATATTGCAAAGTGAAACCCATTTTCAAATAAGTCTCGTATCGTTATTAATTGAAAGTGTGATGGGATAAAAAATGTATTTTCCAGCGATTATCTCATATGCAACCATTATTCCCAATTCTCTGAAATCCAGTCATGATGATCAAAGACAAAGTTGCAAGTATCGGAATCAATTGTAATTACTTCGTATTCACGAAACGTGAAACAAAATAAAATAGATTCTATCGATACATGCACTCCTTTATACAGAAGATATCATCTGAAGTTTTAATATATATCTGTATTAAATTAAGCGATGCTCATAGGAATTGGTCGTAGTTACCAAACTATTTTAAAAACAGACTTTAATAACTAAAATTGTTCTCAATTTTTTCTTTTAGTCTTGAGCAGCAAAAGATTATTAAATCTCGACACTTAAATGATTTTCACTCGTTTTTTTTCTTAATTGCAAATAAAGTTATGACAATACATTTTTTTATGGATGAACATTCTGGTTAGACACGTTAGGTTAAATTATTAAAATAATAATTAAATTTTAAATAATTAAAATATTAAAATATAAAATTAATTGTATATTTTTCCATATCAAATCGAGTAAAAACCTATGGAAACTCTTTCCCCTCTTTTGATTAATTTCTTCATATTCTGTCAATACATTGTTAGGGCGTCATATTCTTATTCGCCTTTGAGGTAATTTAGATTCTTTCTATAATTTTGCTTCTTTCCATGTTCTTCTTAGAAATATTAAGCCCTAAAATATTTCAATAATTATCTTTGCTCTCGCGTATATTAAGTGATTTTTTCGGCCTAGTTGTCAGCCGTTGTAGTATCAATGGAGTGCGAGATTGTTATCATCGCTTTTCCACTTTCTTGTTGCCATGATTGTTTTTTATTTTACTTCATTACTATATACTATATTTTTCTGAACAATGCATTAAATTGTAAAATCGGTTCTATTCATATTATTATATTTACAACTGTAAATAGCTTTTTAGATACTAATACCCCTAGTTTTATATATTGTTTCATAAGTTATTGACATTTGGAAAGATGTTCATGAGAATATGCTTCGAATATAATATTTTCATGAAAGTTTTTCCAAATGCCAATAACTTATAACACTATCGGGATTACATACCCAAATTTATTACATATTGTTTCATATAAAAATGCACAATTAACAAAAATGAAACTCATATTATGCAAAATTAATATTGTTTACATTAAAGTTCTTTTTTATATTTTCATAGCTGGATTTTAGCTTTAACCTTATACACCAGAGAAAACAAAGCGTATGACAATCAATGAAGATTAATGTTACTGTAAACTGCTGATGAGCTATTTCTTCATGGAATAAACGACTGAGAGCTCATAGCGTGAGGGACTTAGACTTGTTGATGCTGTCTAGAATGGTGATGAAGTATCAGGATGCTTTTTCCAGGTATGCGTGGCTCGCATCCAGTATTCAGGTGGTTGGGTTCAACCATCAATGCCCGCGGTGAAAAGTTCCAGTTTTGGGTAAAAGAAGAAAAATCTCTCGTTTTTCCATTCAGGCTACGTGGGATCTCTCAAATTTAGCAACCCGTGGGACCGCAACACTGACTGAAAATTTTTTTAGCATACATATCAAATAAGTCCAATTCCACAACAAATTCTCAAACGCCACTGGGACGAACATTTCCACACACACAACACCAGTTGTACATACTTCTACTCTCAGAGACATTATTCGCATTCAATTCTTTCAGAGACATTTTCACTTCTGTTTTCTCAGAGAGATTATTCATTCTGACTAAATAAATCTCCGTTGTTTATATTTATATTTTTCTCTTCTTATTTCATCAAAAATCCTAGCTCGCCTTGTTCCGTCTGATTTTCTCACCGTCAGAGATTTTTATAGACAAAAATTCGGTTTACCGATGGGATCGACTCTTAGCATTGTTTTTTTTAGAATCGCTAGAAACTGATAATTTCTAAAAAAATATTTTATATAAATAATTAACATATTTCCGATATATTGATGATGCATTATTAATATATCGTAAAATAACCGACCCTTCCAAATATCGGCCTTCTGTCTCTTTCAGGAAACTACTAGAGGCCTTAATCTATGCTGCATTGTCACATCATCGAGCCTTTTCTTCAGACAAGCAATATGGCTTTCGTTTCTCCAGGCCAACAGCTGATTTACTGACGATAATTGCGGAAAGAGTCTATTAAGCACTAGATAAGAATAGTGACGCCCTGGATGTAGCTTTGGATATCTCGAAAGCTTTCTACAGAGTCTGGTATATAGGTCTTTTCCACAAGCTGAAAATTTACGGTATTTACGGACAAATTTTTGAGCTGATCGAATCTTTCCTATCAAATCGTGAAATGAAAATTATCCTGGACGGCCACTCTTCTGAATTCTTTCGTACTAATGCAAGTATTCTTAGGGCACTATTCTTGGTCCTACTTTGTTTTTAATTTTCATTAACGGCTTTCCTGATGTCATTAGATCTCAACTTGGTATCTATACTGATAAACACAACCATTTACTCCTGTCTCGATAGTAAATCTGACCAATTCCATAAGGTAAAATTGGCAGCTGATGTTCAAAACAAAATTCAGTCTGTTGTTAACTGGGGCAAAGTAGGGCTTGTTATTTTTAACGCCTCCAAAGCAAAACTGAACTCCTTTAATCATCTGAGAGACTCCTCTCTGCCTTCCATCAACATGGCTGATGTTAACCTCCAGGAGAGTGAGTCGTTGCGTCTTCTCGGGCTAACGTTCTCGGCTGACATGAAGTGGAAAGACTGTATTGATTCCATGGCTAGACCAGCTACTAAGAAATTTGGTTCACTGTCTCGCGCGAGATAATTTTTCTCTGCGGAATCTATCTTACATATTTATAAGTCTACCATTTGTCCATGCTTAGAACATTACTGCCACATATGGTTCGGTTTTCCTGACGTTTATCTAGAGCTTCTTGATAAAATCCAAAGAAGAATCAGCAATATTATTGGTCTTGATTTGGTGTCTCGACTTCAGTCACTTTCTAATGCCGGTTTTCTTCACCAAATGTGATGGAATATTGTCATGCATGAAAATAATCATCTTTCTGAAAAATCTTTTGTTTCTTCTTGTATTCTAGGTGTGGATTTCGCAATGGGCCCATCATAGTAACACCAATGATCCTATTCTAATATATCACACTACATTTGCCTTTTCTCAATCTCTAAGAGCGCTTTTGGACTTCCAGCCTTTATACTATTCGTTTGATCCATCTAAGGTCGCACGTCCTTCAGCGAAAAGAATAATGAAAAATTTGTTTATCATATATTCTAATGCCTCATAGTCAATATATTAAAGGTCGCATAAAACGATATTCAACCTTCGTTTTATCAAGTGTTTTATTAGTATCTTCCAGTTGGAAATTCACATTTACAAATTAACATATGAAATAATACTTTTATTGATAATGTCGGATTTCTCTCAACGCATTTCAATATTCTCTGTAGAAGGAACTCTTGTTTGTGAGACAGCGCTCGTGTGCACGCTTCAGAAGCCTAGAAAAACTAAAACTTTCTTGACATTCTCTCTGTCATTGTTTTCTTGAATCAATATCTGGTCGGGGAAGTGTAA